TNACCCTGAATTTGTGCATCAATTTAGACCAATTAGCCTTTGTTCAGTTGTGTACAAAATTCTCTCTAAAATCTTGGCTCTTAGGCTTCAATCATGCTTAAATGAATGCATCAGTGACTATCAATCAGCTTTCATTAAAGGCAGACAGCTCATGGACAATGTGATAATTGGTCAAGAGGTTTTTCACTTTCTAAACAGACACAAATCAGGCAATAACTGCTTCATGGCCTTAAAATTGGACTTGATCAAAGCTTTTGACCGAGTTGAGTGGCTAAGCATCAAACAAATCATGCTGCAAATGGGCTTCCACCATAATTTTGTTAACCTCATCATGATCTGCATCTCTACTTGCTCTTACTCTTTTAAAGTGAATGGGACAGTTGATGGCTATATTCTTCCCACCAGAGGCATAAGACAGGGGGATCCATTATCCCCCTATCTTTTCATCATCATCACTGAAATGTTAACTGCTCTGGTTTCTCAAGCTACAGCCACAGGTCAATTCACTGGCTTAAAAATATCCAAAAATGGGCCGGCTATCTCTCATCTGCTCTTTGCAGATGACTCATTGTTTTTCTGCAAAGCTAGCATTGATCAAGCACAGGCTCTCCTCACCATCTTGGATAAATACAAGCTCTTCACTGGTCAGACTGTCAATCTATCTAAATCTTCAGCCTTCTTCAGCAAGAATACTCCAGAGCAGCTGAAATCCCAAATCTGTGCAACTCTTAATGGAATCACCTCTCACAGATCAACCAAATACCTCGGTCTGCCCCTGGGCATTGGTAGATCCAAAGTTGACACATTCAAATTCATTCTGGATTCTGTCTCAGCAAGGGTCCTCAACTGGAAAACAAAAATGCTCACTCAAGCTGGCAAAGCTGTTCTGCAGGCACTCCCAGTGTTCACCATGTCATGCTTCCAAATTCCTAAAACCCTTTGTGCTCAAATTATCTCAGTCTGCTCTCAATTTTGGTGGAGTGCAGGTGAGGACCAAACCAGAGGGATTCACTGGACTTCCTGGAAAACTCTGACTCTGCCAACAGCCCATGGAGGTCTGGGATTCATGGATCTCCAACTTTTCAACACTGCACTGATATGCAAACAACTCTGGAGGATAGTTACACAACCACAGTTGCTTGTCAGCAGGATATTGAAGGACAAATATTTCTCAAACTGCTCCATTTTCAATGCTGTGAAAACTCAAAACTGCTCATGGATGTGGTCCAATTGGCTCTCGGTACTCCCTACATTTGCTAAAGGATTTGCAACCAAAATCAGAAATGGAGAAGACACAAGGCTGGAGGATATTCACTGGTACCAGATCTCCCATACCCAACACCACAACTCATTGACATTGCCAGAGGTCATCTCATATGGGTGAAGGAATTGCTAAATGATACAGGCTGGGGTTGGAACAGATGGCTGGTGCAACAGGTGTTCAGTGAAGCAGATAGTCAAGCCATTCTCAGCATCAACACCCTTAACCCTTCATTACCTGACCAGCACTACTGGAAATTTCACAAAAAGGGTGTGTTCTCAGTAGCTAGCACATATGCTTTTCTGTGCAAACAAAAACTGCAGCAAATGGACATTCCCAGCAGCAGCAATCAAGGAGGACAAACAGCCAACTCAGCACTTCAAAGACTCTGGAAGCTCAAAGTGGAAAACAAAGTGAAAATTTTTATTTGGAAATGCTTGTCAAATTCTCTTCCTGTGAAGACCAATCTGAAAAAGAGAGGAATGCAAATAGATGTGGTTTGTAACTTCTGTGGAGCTGCACCAGAGACCATGAATCACATTCTGTTTCATTTCCCCAAAGCTGCTAGAGTGTGGCATGTTTCTCCAGTCACTTGGAACTCCCAGAACTTCATGGATACCTCCTTCAAATGCTGGTGGCAATTTATTTGTGCTGTTAGCAAAACTGAGTCATCAGAGGCAAGAATACTGTTGTTGTCTTGGATTAACAACTTAAAATTAAACACAGTTGATGTCTCGAAAATGAGGATAAAAGTTTAATTGGATTTTATTGATTATGTTCACAAGAGTACAGAAGTCGGTTTTAAGCTGAAAACCGAGTTTGTCTTAAGTTCGTGTACAATGTGATCGAAAAGATCCTCGTACTATCATAAATTCTGCTATTTATAGTACGGTAGCTTTTGTCTCCTTCCTTGAAATGGATAGAGATGCATTTAATATTGAGCTGCTTCGTATGAGGCGGCGGGAAACATCATTGATTGCCTTTTTGTTGCGTTGGTCCAATCAGATGCTTATAATGATTACTTTCTGTTGGAATATTCAGACTTTATAATAGTCGGTAGACCTTAAGTCGGTTTACTTGTGCTGGAGGCTTCAGATATCGGTACTTCTCAACGAGTCGGTAATTCTTTAGAAGTCGGTAATTTGTTCTAATGCATACCGACTTGTAAGGTGTTTACTTTCTTGGGAATTTATCTCTTCAATAATTCGATTGATTTTTTCGCTTCAATCTCTGTTACTGGATTTGATATCAACAGTGAGGCCCCCGACATCAGTAAGTATTTGAAGCTTTTCAAATGATTGTTGATGTCGTTTGTTGTTTCACCTTATTCCGATTTGCTTTGCATTGTTTACCGACATGAGAACACTTGTGTTTCATTTGACACTTTTCGGTAGTTGGTCTGACATGGCGGCTCTTAAAAGACGTGTCCGCATTAAATGGGTCCAACGGATACAATTTTATAACGACATGGCGTTTCAGGATATGGCCACGTAAGGTAATAATTACTGTAACGTTATGTCTTTTGAAGACACGTCCGTTACACGCGCCGTTTCCGGATATTTCTAACGGTCATAAATCAAAACCTATAAATTAAAGTCGGTCTTGAGGCGCAAAAAATTTCTGTACCTTTGACTTTTTCGATTTCTCTTGCGTTTTTTCAGCAATCTCTTCTTTACGTATTTTCTTTGTGCACTCGCTTTTTCCTGTGATCTTTTCATCAATCCAGAGTTCTTCGAAAGTTTTGGTAAGAGTTTGCCCTAATCTTTCTCGTTTTCGTATTCTGTTTCGAATTTTTCCTGTGTTTTTCATCGATTTGGAAGAGAAAAATGTCTGCGCAAACTGAGAATAGCAGTAGCCGAACGATTTCGGATATTCCGATCCTTACCGATGAGGATTTGGAATTGCCTCTGGAGTATTATCGGTGGGATCCTCTTTTGGTAAAGAGTCTTAATCTCAATTGGGATATCATCGATGAAGACAAGCGAGTCGACGAGGACGCTATGTCTCTTCCGGATTACTGGAGACGTCCTGCTCGTCGGTGGCCGGAGCCAATTGACGAGTATAGGGGCGAGCCAAGTATTCTTACCGATGCCGATATCGTTATGCTTCGAGGAGAAGTGTATATTCCTTCTTCGGTAAAGCTGTTTGCTCCATATCCGGGTGAAAGAATTACGTGTCCCCCACC